AGGTGGTCTCACTTTTGCAGTCTCCAACATTTCCTGCGTCTGTGTTGGCGTCTTTCCAAGATTAACACAAAACTTGATGATAGTCCGATGTTCCGCGTAATCCGTGGACGTCATTTTTTGTTAAATATCCAAGAGCAACGGTTGTCAGTTGTCCGCTGGTAAACAATAACGGAAACAGATATGACGTCAAAATTTCAAACGAACGTTCATATGACGTCACTGCATATGCTTACGACGTCGCGCCATTTTTTACGTATAAATACGCAAGATATATACCAAAGTAAAGACAACTTATTAATACAAAATATTGGACTGCCCCGCCCTGCGCATACTGCGTTACTATAGCGACGTAAAATATAGAGAAGCAATGTTAGAAATTTAAAAATAATGGACATATTCATTAAGGATATGTTAAAGGTATTGTGTACAAATTTGCTAAAAAATGCATTAAAAAAAAAAAAGTTATAGCAAAAGTCCACGTAATTCTGGGACACCACTCGTACACCTTGACTGATGAAAAATACCATGTAACAGACCATACCTTGTATTGATTTTGTATTTGTTATATTCTGTTGCTTTAAAAATGTGAGAACAGCTTTACAAATGTATTTCTGGTGACACATAAATATAAGTTATTTCATTATATTTCCTTAATGAATTTATTGTAACTTGCATGTGCAGATCTAGCATTGATCTACATTTTGCACTGAAAATCCACCTACATATCTTAATCTTTTGAAATAACACAGTTTTATGCTTCATGCAAATCTTCCTTTAGGCTGGAACTCTGTAACACATTCCTGTACGCATTTACTTTGCCACTTTTGAAAAAAAAATTGAGGATGTTGAACAGAATGCCGAGTCAATTTCATATGTCAGCCTAATTTATCTTAAGACGATTGTTGTGCGTCCTGTCGAGCTTGCTTTGCATAATTGAATGATGAAGCAGTTATAATTTAACTCGTAATTAGTTTTATAACGACTAGTGTTTGAATGTTATGCTGGCTTTGCATGTCATCTTTGTCGCTCTAAAGAGATGAAATTTTGTCCAGTTACCTTTTACATTAAATCATTCTCATATAACAAATGTCTTGATGCATGTTGAGCGTCACATCAAAGGTCGTCATTCAATTAAGATTAAATCCTGAGGTCAATGTCGAGACAAGTTTATAATTCACTTCATTTATAAACGAATGATGCAATGATACTTATGAGCTGAATATCGCGCTAATCTCTCACGGTATCTTGTAGATCAAAAATCAGTATTGAAAGAATGTGAATCTGAATATCGTGTCAGCTGGTTATTCAATAATGACCACCCGTTTAACTGAATGTAGAGCTAGCAGTGAGGCTCGCCAATCTATGATTAACAATATCTTTGTATATTAGATCGTCATTAAAATAACCTGTAGATGAAATGTTGAAGTAATGTCGCGCTAGCTTAATAAATTAACTTATCATTTAATATAGACCGAATGCTGAATTGTCATCTAGTCATACACAAGGTATATTCTGCAGAGCAGGTTTCTGTAGAACAGTCATGTTTTACAATAACACTTTTAAATCTCATAAAGGAACATAACTGTTATATTTAGCTTTCATATTGCACCAAGCTAACTTCCTTAACCTTTGTCTGAGTACTGCTAAAAGCAAAGCTACTACGTAAAAGTATTTTACATTTGACTGTTTGACAAGACCGACAAATATACGTTAAAAAACAAATAGGATTTTTCTCAATAAATCTCTGTAAAAAAATGTGAATTTAATGACCCCACTTTAAAGAAAAAGCAGCATAGGCATGTGCAAGAAAATGATTCATGTTCATGAAACAATCATCGAGCATGTATAACAACAATCAATAGGAACTATTTTTAATATAAAAAATAACAACAAATATTGTTTTGTTTTCTGAAAAAAAAGAGCCCTTCTAATGTATAAATTTCAAGACATAAACCTTAACTACGTTGTCATTTTTCACTTAATTGTCGTTCCTATTAGGGTTGTCATACCTTTATACAATAATAATTTCGAAACCATTATTCCAGTTATTTAATTTACGCTACTACCTGTACAATAACACTACTTGAGATGAACTTTAAGAGAACAAAGACGATTATACTGTTAAACGTAATTCGGTAGTTAATCTCTTTCTTTTGCGTCATTATATACAACCGTATAATTATTATTAATAAAGTCATTTTGCTAAAGAGTTTAAATCTTACAAAAGCAAGTGATAAGCTGTACAATGTATTTTATTTTCTTATTTTTGTTTTAGGTTAATGATATGTATTTTATCCAAGCTGCATGTTATCAGCTTCCATTTTCTCAAATAAAGATAATACCACTGCATTGTGTAACTCTCGGATCGACAATTATAGTTTTACTTATCTGCTTAGTAGAACCGAATTATGAATTGTCAAGTTTCTATGGCTGGTTTTTCGTCAAAGAATAGCATAAAACCGTCTGTGCAGGAGGTATACAATTGTGTACATCGTAAATGACATTCATCTTCAACTGGGGTACAAAAAAATGCCTATTTTGTAACATTTCATTTCCTGTAACTATTGTCCACTCGCCAACAATTATTTGTTTATGAGTGTAGCCCTATTTTAACAATTACGCAATTACTGTGCATTTAGAAGTATTTTTTTAGTAACGCGGTGATTAAGTGCACAATAAAACAAATATCATATTGTGTTTACTATATTAATATGTGTCAAACGTGTCAGCTATGTAAATCAAAATATCGACAATTTTATCCATTGTCAGCGTGACGCAGGAGGTAAAGTTGCCTGGTGAATTTCTAGTTGAATAATAAAGTGACATTATGCTCATTTTTATTTCATTCTCAAGTAGAGCTGAATTAATTCTATATTTCATACGATTGTCTGTTGTTATGGTGATTTACCAACAATTGATTGGAAAATGTTAAGAATGAAATATAAATTTCCCTAAAATATAAAAAAACTGCCCCACTCTCTTAATAAATTGAACGTTACAGGTAACTTTCGGTGGCCATATGGTTTATCAATGGTTTATGCAAAGTGAATTATTATATTGAAAGAAACCATGTCAAAATGTAAACTTATTTTGACTTACACCCTTTTACATACTATATACCCTTAGATGGACAAAATGTCACTTTAATGCAAGACAGTTATGTTAGTATCGTACCTTTTCCCAAGAAAAATATTTCTTTATAATTATCATTCATGTAAGAATATTTTGTATTTATTCTTGTTAAGATTACAAATACTGTGTAATTTTCTTTCAACCACTCATTTCACTTTTTACTTTTGTTCTAAATGCAGCTATATTAAGCAAGTTTGTGCAACCTGGTACAGAATGCATACACACAAATTGTTTTAATTATAGTTAAGTTGGCACAAAATACTCGTGCACTGCAAACGCACTATGACTGCTACATACTACACGGGATAAAAATCATTATTACTAGTATACATAAATTATTAGATATTATATTATAACAAAACTGCCCTTATATTCCAATTCATTTGCATCTCATGTAAAAATTAAAAGAATAGGGAAAGAATAAGCGAACAATTCAAGACAACTTGTGAGGCTCGAACTCATTATAAATTAATTATTTCTTTGGCATCCCATTGAATTTACTAACTTTGCAATCAAGACGTTTCAAACTCTGTTTTTATCTTACATAATACAATGTATTTGCTTTCAGAAAACCCGGTTTTTACCTATTCAGTCAAAGGTTGTAAACTTTAGTGTACACAAAACAAACTCCCACATTATTATAGATGCACAGTACTTTCATTGTTTTATGTTATATACATGCATATATTTGACTACGGAATAAGGATTCGTTCCTTAAGGTTCGTTCCCTATTTATCTGACTTTGCTGAAGTGCAGTCATATTTAAACATTTATGTTGTAACCTTAGAACCTGCTTTTGAAAGATAATTATATATGTCTCAAAGGATTTAAAAGATTCGTTCTAAAATGTTTGTACTCTATGCTATTCATTTTCATGAGAGTAATACTATCATAATAATTTATGTTTGCATAAATATTAAAATTTATTCAAATTCAAAATATAAAACACATGTTCAGGCGGTTAAATCCTTGGTAGTAATAAATATGCGCTGTGCTTTATAACAAAAAATGTTAACTTGAATGGTATTTCACTTGATTTCCATGTACATGTACACGATTGTACACGGTATTTTCGTTGAAAATACACTTCCTATTAAATTTTCGAATTGATTAAACTTTAGTTAAGTTATTTTCTTAAATGACATTCGGAATTATACATGTTGCTAAATAAAGTATGTGTTAATCTTAACCGCCATTCGTCATTTAAATACGATATACTCGAAAGTAAAAACAGATTGACGCGAATATTATGAGTACGAATAAACTAATATCTAATGAATTTAATAGTGGAATTGTATGGGATTATTGATAAAATTTATTTTGTAGACGTCATTATTTGTTAAAATACTTATTTCTTATATTTCAATAATAATCAGTTTTAACAATTATATACCACATCAAAAGTAAAACATTACGTTATCTGAAAACATATAGAAAAAACGATTACCATTGTGATCGAATATCATAACAATACTAGTCCAAGGCTCTTTTAAAGCTATAATTCAGTACCAAACAAAGCAAAAAACATGGAGTTTATTTATTGATTCAACCTTGTTTTGAATAACTGCGTAGTTACCTTATAACTTGTCTCTGTCAGATTCGTATTTCACTACGGATTAAAATTTCGCTCACTAAGGTTGGTATATTTTGTTTCTTATACTATTTTTTATATATATGAAGTTATATAATAGAATATAATAAAACGAGTTTAAATAGCCCTGATAATAAAGTTTAACACATAAGACGTAGAGAATAATGATTATAATATTAGTTAAGTTTTTGACTGGTTATATGTCCCTTTATCAAAAGTTGTGTGCATGTATGACTCGAGTCGCTAGGCAAGCGCTATGTTGCAATTTAGCCTTGTATTAACCGTCATATAACCTGCAACGATTTAAACATAAATGTATCTTGTTACAAAGATATCTGTTTTATTGATATTTTATTATTCTAGATAACAAACGCAAAACATGTATAATACAAAAATAGATAATTAGCTTTTAATTGAAAAGTGAAATCTTATGGAACAACTGCCAAAACGAATGACTTTCGCTGCGAAAAAAAGTGGAAACGAAATGTGCACACTTGTTTCCCTTCAGTATGATAGATTGATCTCTACGTGAGAGCCAATGTTAGTATTTTTACGATTGATTATTTTCTCTATTAGTTTTATACAATAGGGAATAGATTTTATTTGACATAAATTGAGTGTCTCGCTCAAAGGATGCGTTGTTTTCAGACTTTATATTTTGAGCTGTTAACGATAATGTAGCCCTCCTGTCTTTATGGAGTGGTTGCACGTTATCATTTTGCTTTGCAACGTCGATGTTGAGAACCGATAAATATATATCGACGAATGAGACTAAAAATATAACAAGAAATCTTGATCCTTTAAATCAGTTAATCAAAACAATATAATTTGTGTTAATTTGTATATGCAATATAACTGTATCACATATTGTATTAAATCGAATAATAGCCCTTGAATGTTGAAGGTCGATTACATTAGGTTTTACTATAATTGCACAATCTCACAAAATTGCGGTTAAATGCAAAAAATGGTCAAATACAAAAATCGAAAATTGATATGGTTTTCTGTATCAACGCATTTCATTTCTTCTAACAACCAAAATGGCATGGTTCAATGGTAGAATCATGGTGGTTTTACCGAAATTAACGAATCAGATATTTTCAAGTTAGTACATTTGAAACGTTGCAATATACTAATGTACTGTCAAAATAAAAACAAGAACCGGTTGAACCGGGTGATGCTCCCCGAGAAGGTTCTGGACACAGGAAAGTATAAAAAAAAATGAACAAAGGGCAAAAACTCCAAAATTAGGCAAGGCAGAGTTATGCTTTTTTTGCACTGCACTTCTATTCAATGAGATCTATCTATCTATAAAGTTTCCTGATGATATCAGAGTTATGTCCCTGGTAAAATTCAAAGTGTAAAAATGAACAAAGGGCAATAACTCCAAAATTAGACCAGGCTTTGTTTTGCAGTTCTATCCAATTATATCTAGCTACCTACAAAGTTTCATGTTGATATCTCTAATAGTTTTAAAGTTATGTCTCGGACAAAAGTCAAAAAGTAAAAATAAACAAAGAGCAATTACTTCAAAATAAGGCAAGGCAGAGTAATGATTCTTAAGCACTGCACTTCCATCCAATGAGACCTATCTATCTACAAAGTTTCATGTTCAGATATCTCTTAAAATTTTAGAGTAATGTCCCGGACAAAGTTCAAAGTGTCAAAATGAACAAAGGGCAATAACTCCAAAAGTAGGCAAGACAGTGTTACAGTTCTTGTGCACTGCAAACCTACTTAATGAGATCTATCTACCTACAAAGTTTCATGTTGATACCTCTTATACTTTTAGAGTTATGTCCCGGACAAAGTTCAAAGTGTGAAAATAAACAAAGGGGGATAATTAAAAAATTTGGCAAGGCAGAGTTATGGTTCTTGTGCACTGCACACCTACTCAATGAGATCTATCTACCTACAAAGTTTCATGTTGATACCTCTTATAGTTTTACAGTTATGTCTTGGACAAAGTTCAAAGTGTCAAAATAAACAAAGGGGAATAATTCAAAAATTAGGCAAGTCAGAGTTACGGTTCTTGTGCACTGCACACCTACTCTATGAAATCTTTCTACCTACAAAATTTCATGTTGATACCACTTATAGTTTTAGAGTTATGTCCCGGACAAAGTTCAAAGTGTAAAATAAACAAAGGGGGATAATTCAAAAATTAGGCAAGGCAGAGTTACGGTTTTTGTGCACTGCACACCTACTCAATGAGATCTATCTACCTACAAAGTTTCATGTTGATACCTCTTATACATTTAGAGTTATGTCCCGGACAAAGTTCAAAGTGTAAAAATAAACAAAGGGGGATAATTCAAAACTTAGGCAAGGCAGAGTTACGGTTCTTGTTCACTGCACACCTACTCAATGAGATCTATCTACCTACAAAGTTTCATGTTGATACCTATTATAGTTTTAGAGTTATGTCCCGGACAAAGTTCAAAGTGTAAAATAAACAAAGGGGGATAATTCAAAAATTAGGCAAGGCAGAGTTACGGTTCTTGTGCACTGCACACCTACTCAATGAGATCTATCTACCTACAAAGTTTCATGTTGATACCTCTTATACATTTAGAGTTATGTCCCGGACAAAGTTCAAAGTGTAAAAATAAACAAAGGGGAATAATTCAAAAATTAGGCAAGGCAGAGTTACGGTTCTTGTGCACTGCACACCTACTCAATGAGATCTATCTACCTACAAAGTTTCATGTTGATATCTCTTGTTGTTTTAAAGTTATGTCCCGGACAAGAAAAGGGGACGGACGGACGGACGGAAAGCCGGACGGACGGACGGACGGACAAGGCGGCGACTATATGCTCCCCCGAAATTTTTTCGGGGAGCATAAAAATACGGAACGTAATATTTTATATTGTCAAATGATTACAAAGTTTCTTACTTGATTTGTCCAAAACATTCCAAAACTCGCCTTTATAAATAATAGTTTCAATGTATGACTTTCCTCCATTGACACATTCGGCTAATGCTTCATTTAAATCTGTTTGATGGTTGTGGATTTTTCCATTAGTATGTTCCCTAAACAAGTCGGCAAGCAATTTAAAATTGCTACATCTTATATGTAGTTGTATGCATTCATGTTTAGCGCGTATGATTCTCCATCCTTTAGATAGAAATAGCTGAAATGTTTTATCGACTGCCTTTCTTAGTCTAGCATATGAATTGGGCGGTATGCTGGATTTGAGATCATTGTTCTGATTTATGACCTCTTCAAACAACTTTTGTAAAACATCAGACATCGTTTTTTCTTCTTCATCACTGACATTTTTTAAATCAAGAAAAAATGTCAACTCCTGTAGTAACAAATATAGTATTAAATCGTTAATGGAACAACTATCCAATTAGTTTGAGTATAAATGTATAGATATTGATGAGACACATGTAGCCCAAAATGTGTTATTTGTGTTGTCCACTCAGCATCAATATAGTACCAGTATAATGTGTGTCAATAGTAAGTGTTTTACTTTGATAGATTGACTGCTAAATACATTTTTCATTTCAGGAAGTCGATGTAAATGCATTCATTTAGAAAACAACAAAAAATGTAAGTAACGAAGTTCTAATAGAAAAGAGGTTTATTTATAAACATTTGTCTCCACAGAAATAATAGATACATTATTTTTTTCTACAGCGGATGCGCATAAATCTAGAACTTGTTGTTTCTTATATGTAATCGCAGAAAATAAGACTTATGAAAACAATGGGCATTTACCAGGAACAAGAACATTGTTTGTAGCTGAATCGATTCCTGAGCTTGCCCTTTGGTTGAGCTTATTATTTATTACTTCCAACTTGTCGTCAAGTTTCTCAAACTTTTCTAAAACTTTTTCGTCAACTGTAAAAAATGTTTAAGATAGGTTGACACAAATGTAAAAATGTTTTATCGGCTACTAATTGTATTTGTATTACATTTTTCTATCACTGTATGCTCATATTCTTAAAGCTTATAATCTGTATTTATAAACAAAAACAACACTATTTAATTGAAAAATAAGGTTTGGAAATAATTCTACAATATGTTATATTTAATGTATAAACATTACGTATCATGGTCAAGTTTCTCATGCGTTTCTAAAACTTTTTCCTCAACTGTAAAAAGTTTAAGATATGTTGACAAAATGTAAGAATGATTTATCGGATACTTATTGTATTTTATTTCATTTTACTCTCACTGTATGCTCATACTTTTAAAGCACAAATCTGTGTTTATATAACAAAAACAACACTGTTGAACTGGTAATTAAGGTTTTGTAAACAATTGTACAATATGTAATATTTGATGTATAAACGTTACGTACCATGGTCTAACTTTTCATGGATGTCCATTTCCATCAAATAAAACTTACGCATTTCGTCAAGCGTGTCGTTAAGCGAAAGAGATCCACTTTCTAATTCTTTGATGATTGTATCAACCTCTAGCTTCAAATCGTTGTCATCGAGTTTCTCCAAAATTCTACCAACGAACACTTGGACCACTTTAAATTTGCTTTCAAACTCCAAATTTGTGATTTCCGCGTCGTTCATGTGACAGAGACCATTCCGTATTTTTCGCAAATTTTCTATATCCAATCGGTCAAATTCATCCAAACCACAGTATGAAATAAGGACTTGGCAGGGAAGTGATAAATCCCAGTTAGAAAGCACTGTATCACCGGTGTTTGGAAAGAGGACTTTATACTTCTTCTTTGAAAGCTTTGACTTAATTATAATTTGCTTTTTACTGTTCAAAAATGATGCAAGTGTCCATTCGTTTTGTTTGGAGTCCCTTGGCATTTCTTTCACACGCTTTAATAGAAAATATTGACATGCTTTTGTCCCTCCTTTACTAAGCATGAGACACAGTCTGCAATGTTTTTCAGTGCCGGTCGTTGACATATTGAAATAGTCTGAATGTTTAACAAAAGCAAAAATAAGATTTCAATGTGAAGCAAGCCATGTTTTATTTATTTATTTTTTAATATCAAAGACAAAAACTGAAATGAATTTTGAATAATCATTTTAAACAAAATAACATTCCGTTATAAATAAAGTAAAATAAATTAAAGCAAAAACAAGTATTCTCGTTTATTTATGATAAATCTGTATGACCAATTGCAAATACTTTGTACGTTTGTTTTATTTATATTTCAATCTATAAAATCTATTTGAAATGTTTACTTATAAACTATACTAAATTGTATTTAAGCATAAACTGTACACTCAATGAACAGTTATGCAAGAATAGTGTTTAAAATGCGCCTTTAACATGTTAATACACTAAACTGGTGCCTTTACCCTCTTTTGTCGAACAACTTGACCACTAGAGGTTTATCACAAATAAAGAAACACCCTTTATAGATAACATACGTAGAACACGATAAGCCTGAACAAGTGATTATTCATATTCCTATTGATTCGTTAATTAATTTTATCTATTTTTTTTTTTTTGGGGGGGGGGGGTTGAGTGGCATAAAATTGTTATAATCATGATAGATGTTTTTCCGGTACGATGAAAATAGGATAGTGTAAATATTACAAACCATTTATTGAATGTTAACGCAGTAATGATGAGACAAAACAGTATATATGGGCGTAATTGAATAAATAAATTAAATAATTTATATCAATGATGAACTAGGGGTTTGTTCATTTAAGTATATCAAATGAACAGTTAGTATTCAAATTTAACAATTATGTGTGTAACATATTCGAAAAACCAAAAGACAAAATGCTGATACATTATTTCAAGAGAGAACCAACCAAATACATTATGTCCGTCTTAAAAATGTTGCAGCGTTAGATATTGGTAAAACGATCGACCGTGTTGTATATAAAAGCTTTAAATTCTATGAAAATATTTTAATGATGATAAAACAGACATCAGTTAATTCGACATTTTAAACAATATTAATAGAAATTTTAGTTGGTTACTTACATAATTGATTAGTTATCAAAGGTAAAATAACAAATTGAACATTGTTATGGCAAAATGTTAAATTATTTTGTATGTTATTTTTTCACGGACCATATACTTTTGGATGGGTATAATGTCACTTTAAACAATGCTATATAAATAAATAAATATAAATTATTTGAAGCTACATATTATTTTATCTTCAAGTTTCTATCGTCTGCAGTCACCCAAATGCACATTTAAACTATTTGTCAGAAAGAAAAGGACCAGTAAAGTTATAACTGTTTAAAATTAAGGACGATTCAATAATTCTTAATAAATGTATGCGTTTTTAATTCATTTCAAAATTACGTCGTACTATTATTGCCAAATTGCACACTGTACAAAGGTTCAGTTGCATTGCTGATTTGTGATCGCAAATTTTATACATGTATTTATCGTGTGCACTTTGAAAGTTTCATACAATTATAAGACAGTGTCTTCAACTGTTTTTAACTCAATTTATTTTATAATGGACTATTCGCCTCAACCGCTTACATGAGGACAGCCTGTTATTTGTATGAAATCAGTGATATCTAGGGTTCATTACAAGACATATAACGATGTTTGTAACTAGACATGCAATTGTTGTTGTTGTTTTTTGTTGTTGTTTATTTTTCAATTATACTTTAAACATGGTACTTATTTCATATCTGTACATCAAAATTAGAAAGGTAGGTCACTCGATCAATATCTAGGTCATATGGTATCAAACTTCGATTCTACACCTGAAATTGTGCACATAGAAGGTCAACTTAATCTTGGTAAGCTGATACTAAAGTTCATTCTTGCATCTAAAACTGCGCATACCACTTAAATTTTATGGTTGTACATCAAAGGACAAGAAAGTATGTCACTTTGTCAAAATATAAGTCAGCTGGTTTTAAACTCCAAAATTCCATTGCTGTATATCAAATGACGAGAAAGTAGGTAACATTATCTAAATCTAGGTCAGCTTATAGCAATGTTGAATTTAACATTTAAAATTGGTATATAGTCTAGTTTTTATAGATGTACATCAAAGGAATAGAACGTAGGTTACAACATCAAAATCTAGGTTTGCTGATATTGAAGTTCAGTTCTACATCTTAAATTGTACATGGCACAAATTTTGCTGTTTTACATCAAAAAAAAGAAAGAGGGTTACTGTGTCCCCTTGGACAGGGCAAATTTTTTCTCCAAGGTTCTGATTTAAACAATCCTGATACAGTTCTACATCACAATATTTCATGTCGAGTATCTAAGCACTAGCTTACTCCTATTCAGAAAAAAACATTTATTTTAGTTTCTGTTTTGACTATATGTACATAATGAAAATCAATGACCCCATGACTTGAAAATCTTGGTAGAGGTCCACTACACAATGTTCATGCCAAGTATCTAATCTCTAGCATTTGTCAATTCGAAGAAGAAGCTTTTGATCATTGATGCTAGCACTATTAAGTGTTGAGAATTGAGTACCCCTCAAGCCGGTGCTAGAGCACTTATTCATTATATTTTATAAAAAAGTCATCGGGTGCTAAATACTGTCTATGGCTGCAATGGAATGTCAATGGTTGCAATGACAGTTACGTATTGCTATTTGAAGTCACTTGTTGCTATGACGGTAATGGGTTTCTGTAGAAAGTCATAGGTTGCTATTCGATGATATGGAAAGTCATAAGTTTGTATGGCAAATCACTGGATGGTAAGGAAAGTCATTTGGTGCTCAAGAAGTATAAAGTTGCAATTGAAAATCAATGTTTTCTATGTTAGTTACTTGTTGCTTTTAACTAGTCACTGGTTGCTATAAAGGTTTATGGTTGCTTTGGAAAGACACTGGTTGCTATGGAAGTCAATACTTGAAAAGTCAGTAGTTGCTGTAGAAGCCACTAATTACCACGTAAAGTAAATGGTTGCTATGGAAAGTAAATGATTGCTATGGAAAGACATCGGGTACTTAAGTAGGCGATTGTTGCTATGAAAAGTCATTGACTTTAATGTGAGTCAATTGTTGCTTTGAACGTCACTGGTTGCTTTGTAAAGACAATGATTGCTATGACAAATCACTGCATGTTAATAAAGTAATTGGGTACTAAAGAAGTTTATGATTGCAATGGAATGCCAATGGTTGCAATGACTTTCACTTATTGCTATATGGTTGCAATTGAAAACCAATATATTTTATGTTAGTGACTTGTTGCATTGGGAAGTCACAGGTTTTTATGTAAGTTTATTGTTGCGTTGGTAGCCAATTGTAGCTTTGGAAGGTACTGGTGGCTATAGAAAGTAAATGATTGCTATGGGAAATCAATGGTTGCTATAAAAAGACATTCGGTGCTTAAGAAATCTATTGTTGCTATGGAAAGTCATTGGTTTCTATGTGAGTTATTTGTTGCTTTGGAAGTCACTGGTTGCAATGGAAGACTATGGTTGCTATGAAAGCCATTGAGGGCTACAAAAGTCAATGGTTGCTATTTAAAATCCCTTTGGGAAAAACGGTCGACTTGAAATCAAGTATATTCATGAAGCAACTTGGTCATATTTCTGGCAAAGTTCATATATTGGATATAGTATTCATGAAGAGAGTTATTGCATACGTCAAGTAAGTTTCATTTGTTATCAAATCATGAATGTTAAACGAATAATCGTTACGCATAAACTCAAAGGAAGCTGTCAAAAAATAGTCTGAAAATTCTTACCTTTCAATTTCATAAAAAAATATTTATGCCAGAAATGTTCAATAATTTCAAACTGTATTAAGCATCTGTATAATTATAACTATTAAGTTTTACTTGAGCTCAATGTTAAGGGCATTTTTATTTATCAGCAATAATAAATTTTAGGTTACTGTATTTCAGTATTCTTGAAGAGGTGTCTGCTACAAAAGTCATGGGTGCGTGAGAAAATATCATAATTCAATGATAATTCATTTCACGAGATCAAATTCATTTCTTATTATTATCATTCAAATGGTATTCTGTTTGAAAGTTTCAGAGAATCACTCAAATAGGAGATTAATTCTTTAACAAAGAAACTGGTATGTAAGCTGGAGACGTTATTCATAACTTTACTGTAAAGCGGATATGATACACGGGGCACGTATGTTACTACCAAGTACACAATAAATAACATTAAGTCCAGTCATTAAAAAAAAATCAACACCAATTGTATACCTTATTTGTTACGCAAAATAATTATGGTTTTATATCATAAATATGATGTTCAAATGAAGATTTATCAATATTGTTAGTTCCAAAGAGCTTTATTTTTACAGATATTACCAAATTTATATTTTTTCTTGTAAATAAAGTTAGGTTATTAAACATATATTTTATGTAAAGTCTTAGCCAAATTTTTCAATAAGAAATGAATGCATATACTTTAATGATTACATATATTGCAACATTTAAACATTTGCAGTACATATTTAACATAAACACACTTTGATGTTTGGAAATTGTTTGAGAAGCATAATGATATGCATATATAAAATTTCACGTAAGTGTTGTTACCACTTTATTGTTTGCTTATGATTGAAAAATAAAAACCTCAAAATATTTTTTTATCTTGAATATTGAATTTTCATAATTTAAATTGAGCCACGGTACCGCGCCCGTTTTTAACGTTGCGTTTCATTGGGTAATCGTGATGTTTATATCAACTATATTGACAGCTAATGCCAAAATTTTAGAGGATGTTTTTTCGTTTGAGTAAAATATGGAATATATTTTCATGAAACATGATAAAATGCCATATATTTTTACGAGCCGGGACGGCGAATTAAAATATGTGGCATTTTATCATGTTGAGTGAAAATATATAGTACCGTTTTTCATGAAAAACGAAAAAAATAACCTTTATATTTAATTTCATTATCAAAGAAAAATGGTTGCGAACCACCTTGCTTGCTACGCAACTGCAATTGTACAGCGCGCAGTAATATAATTATTACCTTGTTTTGCACGCGATATTTAG